TAGATTGAATAGAGAATAGAGAGAATGGATACTACCCTGACATGTGCTTTTCTTAATTTTTTTTTCTCCTTGGGTGGTAGTTCTGTCTTTATAATTTCTTTTTTAATTTTTTTATTAATTTTAATGAAAGTTTATAGACTTAGGGTTTCCGCCCCTAATTCACTCTTCTTGAAAAGTAAAACTTTCATTATTATGCAGTCCCTCCCCTTAATTAATTTTAGTGAAAGTTTACAGAGACTGGATTTCCATTCATTTTTGCACTTTCCTCCCTGCCCACCCCTCCCCTCACTTTTCTTAATTTTAAACTGTCATTTTCCTGTGCTGTATTCACACAACAACCTGTTAGTCTTAAATATAGCTTTTGCATGAGCATAATAAAGAATTCCCATTCTTAATTTTAGTCATAATTTATGATCTACATAATCAATAAAACACAAATAGACATTCTTCTGGTATTTTTGCTTTCAGCCAGGATCCATCTGACATTAGCAAGATGTCCCTTGTGCCACGGCCTCTTCTGAACCCAGCTTGTATTTCTAGCAGTTCTCTGTCTGTGTACTATTCTGGCCTTTTTTTGGATGATCTTCAACAATATTTTGCATGTGATATTAATTATATTAAATAATTTATTAATTCTGTTGGATCACCTCTCTTGGGAATGGGAACAAATGAATCTCTTGCAGACAGCTTTCCTCCAGATTTTCTGACATAGACTGGTGAGCACATCTCTATGTCTCAGGTTGCATCTCTTGTTAAAACATACCAATTGGTATCCCACTAATTCTTGGGGCCTTCCCCCCACCATTCATTCATAGTTGCACATTTTCCTCCCTGCCCATCCGTTACCCCCCAGTTTGCTTTTCTCTTTGAAAAAAGGAAAAAATTTCTTTCATTGTTATACAATATCCACCCCCTCCCCGAGTCCACTTTGGGGCCTTATTTTTGTCAGTGACTTCAATGCAGCTTAACTTTTCTTTCATCACCATTGACTTTTATTTTAATACAGAGGAAACAATAAGACAACTTTTTTTTTTAACAACTATTTTTTAAAACATGAGGATGGGTGAGCTCTGGTGGCCTGGTGGCGAGAAGCTGCAACTGCAATCTCAGAAATGCACTGTTCGAATCCACCAGATGCTCTGCTAGAGAAGGAGGAACAATCTCCTGTACCTGTCAGATCTGATTTGACGGTACACACAAAAAATAATGAAATAAAATAAATTAAAAAAGAAAAAACACACATGAGGATGAAAGGGCCTAAATGGAAAACACCATTGACTTTTGATCATATGGTGCTTCCTGAAATTTCCATCAGCCAGTTCTTTTTGGTACAGTGACTGTATATTCACTCCATCGTGTTTTTCTCCCCCCTTCATCTTTTATTTATTTTTTATTATTTTGTGTGTATATGTGCTGTTGAATTAGTACAGGAGATTGCCCCTCCTTCTCCGGTGGAGCATCTGGTGGATTTGAACTGCGTATCTTTGGGTTGCAGAGCAGCTTCTTGCCACTAGGCCACCATCTTCTTTTAATGCTTCCTGTATCATTCAGTATTTTGCCTGTAGCATTTCTCAGTATTGCAACTTGGGCTTGAATTTGTTTTTCAGTTCTCTCAGCTTGAGAAATGATGTAGCCTTATGGTAATGTAAGTTGTTCTTGTGAGATGCCTTTGAATCATTTCCAACTCATAATGGTCCAGCGCACAGCAGGAGAAACACTGCTTGGTCCTGTACCATCCTCATAGTCAGGCTCTTTAAGAACTCATTGTTACAGCCACTGTTTCAATCTATTGTATTGACAGAAAATATAATTTTTTCTTTGTATAAATTATAATTAGATAAGGATTAATTATTACTATGTATCTGAGAGCTGAACAGTGAATAAAAATGACAGAAGAATAATTGATGTCATTGAGTAGTAGCATTAGAGAAGAGTGCTGACTATCCATCCTGTAGATTGCCAGAAGAAGAGACAGAAATGTCTGGGAGAATGTGCAACCAGATTGTGCCATCAGGCAAGGATGGTGAAGCTTCACCTCATATTTTGGGCATATTGTTGTTAGAAAGGATTATTTCTTGGAAAATGACATCATGCTTGGATTAGGTAGAACAGAGGCAAGATCCTCAAAGAAATGGTTTGACATAGAGACTGCAGCAATGAGCTCAGATACATAGGAGCTGATGAGGATGATGCAGGATAGCACAGGGTTCAGATCTCCTGTTAATAGGGTTGCTATGAGGCATACTCAACATGATGACACATAACAATAGTTGTTTATTTAGTGCCTAAGGAGGATCATCGATGGCTTTGTGGTCAGGAATTGCCCTCCCAAACCAAAGGCAGGTGGTTTGAATCCACCACCTGTTCCATGGGAGAAAGATGATGGGCAGTCTTCTCCCATGCAGTTTACAGCCCTAAAAAGCGTCAGCTGTGAGTTGGTTCCATCTCAACACCACACAAGGTGACAAGCCTTGTGTGAGATTTTATTTACTTTTATACTTAACATTTATAATCTGGAAAGATACTTACTGACTTCCATTTTATAACTAAGAAACAAACTTGAGCTAATTCCCCCAAGATTAAGCAGTTAGAAAGTAAAGAGAGCTTAGAGGTATTTGAACACTAGGTTGTGCTGCTGCCTCAGAATCAAAGGTAAAATTCCCCATTACCTAACCCCATTACAGAAACTGTTCAGGAGGAAAACAAAGATTTTTCTTAAATTACCTCAAAGAGTATATTGATTAAAAGAATGCTAAAGGCAAGAAAAACCCTGTTTTGCTCAAAATAATATATGAAAATATCTCACTTTATAGACATCTTACAAAAATAATGTGATTTCCCCCCCTCGCAGTGGGAGTAGATGAGATTTGTCAGTGTCTGTGTCTAGTTTGGATAAAGCAGTATCTAAAATTACCTAATTAGTCTAATTTTTAATAGTCAATACTTTTCTTGTAATATTCAATAAATATGGAACTCTATAAAAAATATTTTTTCTCTCCCAGAAATAACCAGTTGTTGTTGTTGTTGTTATGTGCCGTCAAGTCATTTGCGATTCATAGTGACCCTATGTACAACAGCCCTAAACCCTGCTCTATCCTGTGCCAACAGCTTTGCCTCTGACACACCCATCCCGATTACCCCAGTCACTGAATCAGTCCACCTCATAGAGGGTCTTCCCCTCCTGCGCTGTCCCTCTACCCTACCAAGCATGATGTCCCTCTCCAAGGACCTGTCCCTCCTTACAACATGTCCAGAGTATATCAGACGAAGCCCCAGAATCCTTGCCTCCAAGGAGTAGCCTGGTTTAACCCTCTCCAGGATGAATCTGTTTTCCTAGCAGTCCATGGTACAAGCAATACTCTTCTCCAGCACCACAGCTCAGAGGCATCAATTCTCCTTCTATCCTCCCTAGTCACTGTCCAACTCTCTGATGCATAACAAGTGATTGCAAAGACCATGGCCTTTATGAGGCGCACCTTAGTAATTAAAATAAAAACTCCTCCCACAAGGAATTACTTTTTTTTTTCATGAACTTCTTTTTGTTGTGATTTGATCAAAAGTTTACAGTGTTGTTTGTCCATTTAACAGTGCATACACATTATGTTTTGTGACACTGATGACGATCCCCACATTGTAACAGCTGTCCTCGCACTTCCTCCCGCTTTCCCTTTTCCATTCATCCTTCTTTCCAATCCCTTCCTGCTTCTGAGCTTTCTCCCTGGGTAGTAGTACTGTTTTGATTTTGTGTGGTTAATTGTTCTAAGGAGGGTATTCTAAGGAGGCTTATCATTTGGTTGAAAATTGAGTTTTGGGAGTGATTTCCTTTTAAGGCTTGAAGGATGACTAAGAGTAATCTTAGGTTCCACCAGACCCTAAATTTTTTTTTTTTTAAATTTTTTGTGTTTGTATCATCAAATCAGATCTGACTGGTACAGGAGGAGATTGCCCCTCCTTCTCCAGCAGAGCCTCTGGTGAATTTGAACCATGTACCTCTGGGATTGCAGTGCAGCTTTTTGCCACTAATCAAATCTGTGACTTGGCAGCTGAGTGCCTAATCTGTAGTGCCACTTTAAGCACCACTAGTACCACTGGTAGACTAATGGCGAGAAGCTGCACTACAATCCCAAAGGCACGCAGTTCAAATCCACCAGCTGCTCCGTAGGAGGAGGATTCACAGTCTCCTCCCATGCGATTAACTGCCTCTGGAAACCTGCCAAAGGACCAGTTATGAGTCAGGTCTGACACAACATGCAAATTCTAAAGCCAGGCCAGGCCTAGCTTCCAGGTCCTTTCTGTGCCCCTCTCCTGCAGTGAGTTTTCCAAGTCATTGTTTGTATGTCTCATGAGGCATATGCTGAGGGAGTAGTGGATTATTTTTGTGTGACCCCTTTCTCTAGAGAGGAGGTAGATCTTGGCTTCAAGATTCTTGTGAATTTGAGATGCACAGGAAACTAACTCCTGCAATTTCAAACTGAGAACAAACTTTGTGACTCTTCTTCCTCACCTCATGTCCTGACAGCCCCAAGTTTTGCAAGTCTCCACATAGGGACCTTGTGGCTCTTTGGCTACATTGTTCTCATGGACCTTTGGCTACATGATGTCCTGTTTAATTAAATATTTACTTATGCATGGGAACCATAAGGAGGATTTATTAGAGTTTTGTTCTGTATTTTCTTCCACTCTTATCAGAGATTTTCTGTTATGATCCATTTTAGAGCAGTCATTGGTGGTAGTTGAGCACCATCTGGTTCTACTTATTAACAATTTTTAAGTTAACATTGGACACAAGGAAAAATAAAACATAAGCATACATATATATACTTTGTTCTGTTTGCTTTGCTTAATTCTTAAAGATCCTTTCATAACAATATATGGTTAATTTTGTTTGACTTGCTAAATAATTTTCCTACCATGCCATATATAATTGATTCAAAATTTAATAAATAAATTAGTACTATTTTTTTTTAAATATTGAAATTACTGGTTTTTCTCCATTGTAGCTGTCCAGACAGTTCGCTGCTACTCCCACGGGTCTCATGAGACAGAAGAGGAGTTTGATGCTCGCTGGGTGACATATTTCAACAAGCCAGACATCGATGCCTGGGAATTGCGTAAAGGTAATTGAAAAAGATGTGGTCTGCTTTGCTATGGAAATATGAATTGCTATATAATGTTTCACTACTTTGTTAAAAGCAAGTATTTGTATTTTGAAAGTACACATCATGTAAACTGGTTTACCTCATGCACCTTGCATTTGAAGTTTATGACTTCCCTGGTGTGTGTTTTTGTACACAGCAAGATTTTTTTAAAACAGGTACAATTGATGTTTGGGGCCAGATGATTCTTTGTGTAGGTGGAAAAGGGCATTCTGTGCATTGTAGTATATTTAGCAGCATATGACCTCTACCCAGTAGGTGCCAGTGACATGCCTTACTGTACTTATAACAACCAAGATACCTGTCTACAAGTCCCTTGAGGGACACAATCATTCCTGGTTGAGAACTATTTCTATAATGTCAGAATAAGAGCCAACAGTTTCTAGGTAATGGTTTGAGGGGCTTTTATTCTTTTATAAGATTTGTCTTGTCCTAAAAAAAAAGTCCAGTCTAAGGTAGGAGCTTGTTTTCCTAAATTTTAAAATGCCTTTTTTTTTATGGGTAAGTAGCATTAATGTTAACTAATCACTAATTTCCATTAGAGTAATTCAGTCTTTGTGGCTTATGTTTATAGCATTTTTCCCCCCGCTGGTGTCCTCTGTTTAGATATTTTTAAATAATAAAACTTAACAATCCAAGTGCTTCAGACTTCTTCTAAAATGTAATGACTCTGCTTTGCTGCACTCAAGGAAATTCGTACTGAATAATCTTGAGTAGAAGTAATGGAAAGAACAGCAATTCTGTGTTCCCATTAAGAGAATCTTGAATTTTATGATGTGTCATTTTGTGCAGAGTCGAAAGTAATCATGCCCAGTCATTTCTGGTTGAATGTTTCTGAGTCTGTGCACTAATGTTTCTCTATAATAGCTCCTTAATGCCCTCATTTGGGCTTCATTAATACTCACTAAGCATTTCCCTGGTGGTTTTAGAGTCTTTGCAATTAATTCTTTTTAAAGCAACTAAAGCAGATGCATTGCACTAAAAGATGCGAGTTGGAAATGGCCCTCTTGTTTGAATAGAAACCTACTAATTATTATGAAATGGTATTTGCATTTAGGAAAATACTTATTTTTTTCCTTTAGGTTTCATGCTGCTGCATAAGTTATCCTTTCCACTAATTTACTGTGATCTTGTCTAGAGTTTTTTTGGTTTTGTTTTTATTTTTTTTTTAATAATTTTAATGAACATTTACAGAGAATTTGGATTTCCATTCATTCATTGCTGCACTTCTCTCCCCGCCCAGTTGTCTAGAGTTTTTAAAGGCCTTTATAGATGAGAATAGAAGTTCCACAGATAATATAGCCATAGTGCAATCAAAATATAGATAACTAAATTGCCATTTAAATGAGAATATTCTAGCTTGACATGACCTTTTTTTTTTAACAGGGATGAACACACTTGTTAGTTATGATCTGGTTCCAGAACCTAAAATCATCGATGCTGCTTTGCGGGCATGCAGACGGTTAAACGATTTTGCTAGTGCAGTCCGCATCCTAGAGGCTGTTAAGGTCAGTGAAATAACTATATTCTTGATGTGGTTGGGCATATTCTATGCTTTTGCATTTAAGATTCTTGAAACTAGTTCTCACATGGCTAGAAGAAGGTATCTCCATGGCACAATGGTTAAGTAGTTTGGCACCTAAAAGAAATGGTAGTGGTTTGAACCTACCTACCAGCTCCAAATTGAAAGAACTGAAATACACATTCAAGCTTCGAGTTGTTTGGTTTTTTTTTGTTTGTTTTACTTTATTATTTTTGTGTGCGTGTACCGTCAAATCAGATCTGACTGGTATAGGAGGAGATTGCCCCTCCTTCCCCGGCAGAGCATCTGGTGGATTCGAACCATGTACCTCTGGGATTGTAGTTGCACCTTCTTGCCACTAGGCCACCAGAGCTCCCCTTCACGCTTCGAGTTGTAATACTGAGAGAGGCTATAGAAAAAAATCTTGAATGATCTAGAAAGCATCAAAAGAGCATGGAGGAAATGCACAAAGTCACTGTACCAGAAAAAAATGGTCAACACTGAAATATTTGAGGAAGTAGAATAGGATAAAGTGGTGATGAGGGAAGAAGTTCAAGCTGCCTTGAAGGAATTGACAAAAAAGGTCTGAGGAAATGATAGGGTACCAATTGACGTATTTCAACTAATAGATGCAGCCCTGTATATGCTCACCAATCTATGCCAGAAAATTTGGAGGACAGATGCCTGGCTGACTGACTGGAAGAGATCCGTATTTGTTTGATACCCAAGAAAGATGGTCCAACAAAATGTGGAAATTATTAAGCAGTAAAATGCAAGTAAATTCTTGCTAAAGATTATGTAAAACTGACTAGAACAGTTAATTGACAGAGAATTGCCGAAAGTTCAAATGTTTGGGTTTTTTTTTTTTGCATGACAAAGAATCTTTACTTTTAAATGATTACCAGTATATTAATAGCAAGTAACAAGTTTCCATATTCTACTATCTAGTAATTTCTACAAGAAACTCAAGAGCAGCCCCAACTAGACCACTACAAGTGTGTTCTGCTTTCCGAAAGGTCACTGTATGTCACCTCACTTAACAAAGGGCCTTCTTCAGCACCTGTTTTCATAAACTGAAGTAAATTTAAAAGGGATTTTTGCTTTTACAGAAAAAAGGCAAAAAGAGTGAAACCAGCATCCAGGCATTTGTTCTTTCAAGCTGCCTTTAGAAGAGGCCATGGCACAAGAAATACCATTGCTGGGGTCAAATAGGTCTTGGCAGACAGCAAAAATACCAGAAGAATGTCTGTGTTTTATTAACTACACAAAGGTATTTGACTGTGATGATCATAACAAACTATGACTAGCGTTAAGAATGGGCATTCCAGAACACTTAACTATGCTTATATGAAATCCATATCTACACAAAAAACTTTCGTGCAGAACAATGGTTTGGAATTGGGAAATGTGTACATTAGGCTGTATCCTTTCTCCATACTTACTCAGTTTGAAGTTTTTAAGGAAGAATGTGGCTTCAGAATTGGAGGAAGACTCATTAACACAACCTTGCTTGCTAAAAGTGAGGAAACTTACTGCAGAAATTCAAAGACTCCAGCCTTCAATATGGATTCTATCTCAACATTAAGAAAACAAAATCCTCAGCAATGAGCCAATACACAGCACGTCATAATAGATGGAGAAAATGTAAACTGCCAAAAATTTCATTTTACTTGAATCCACAATTAATATCCTTGGTACCAACAGTCAGGATATCAGGACATGTGTAGCACTGGCAATGACTCTTGTCAGGGACCTCTCCAGAGTCCTGAAGAGCAGTGATGTCAGTTTAAAGTCCTTGGTGTACATGATTCAAGCCATGGTTTTTCCAGTCACCTAGCCACTGTGTGTTTAAGAGATGGACCATGAATAAGGGTAACAGAAGACTTGATGCATTTGAGTTGTGGTATTGGAAAAGACTGCATATCCCATGAACTGCCAAAAGGACATTTATGACTTGGATAAAGTACAACCTGAATGCTTCCTGAGGCATAGATGGTGAAGTTGGGCACGTTGTTAGAAGGGGCTATTCCTTGGAAGGGGACATCATATTTGGAAAGATAGAGGGTCGAGAAAGAGGAAGACCCTCAACAAAATTAATTGACACAGTAAGTGGCAGTAAACTGTCAAGTGTGTTAGAGATTGAGAATGGCACAGAATAGGACAGGGTTCACATTTGTTGTTCATAGGGTTACTATGAGTTATACTTGACTTGATGGCACCTAACAGCAGTAAGAAGCAATTCTTCAGGACAGAGTCTGCTTCTGTGAAAACTATGACCAAGAAAACCCTATCGGGCAGTTTGACTTTATCACATGAGGTCAGTATAAGTTGATCTGTTTCATTGCACCAGCAGCAACATAGCTAGAGGGATGTGCATAGTAGCTACAGTCTTTTACATTTATCAGTGGCCTTAAAAATTTTAGCAATTCCATTAGAGAATTAGTGACCCTATGAACAAAAGACCTGAACACTTGTATAACTTTCATTTTTTCTCCAAGTTCATAGGGTTTCTGGAGGCAGGCTATTTCGGAAGTGGATGCTACTCCCGCTTCCAAGCTTGTTTTAGCCGGCAGCTCCATCAAACACAGTCCACCATGGGTAACCATTAATCACATTTGACACATCAGTGTCACAGTGTTCAGCATCACAGCAAACATGAGTTAATATTGTGGAAATGTATCTGAAATTGGTGTATTAATTGGAGAAACCTTTGAGGCTCTATTTGTGGGAAGACTTCTTTTTATTTTAAAAGATATGAAAATGTAGGAAAATATAATTTCCTCTCTCCCTGGCTTGATTGTAATTCTTCTGACTTTCATGTAATGGAAAAACATTTAAATAACCACCCTTAAGGAAACCTAGAATTTACTCAAAACAGAACTATTAACAGCTGGACCCTTTTTCAGTCCATCTGCCTGAGGAACCTTTTTTTTTTAAAAAAACAAACACATGAACAGTAAGTTTAATGTTTCCCCCCTCTTTTAAGTAAAGAAGTATCTTAATAGTTTTAAATAACTGAGGAACCTTTTAATAATACCAGTATAACTTTATGTTCTGGTAAGGTTTCTTAAAAGTCCTCCTGCCCTGGGGAAAAGGAATCTGCAAATGCAGCTTTCCATGAAGAGATAGGGTATAGTGACAGAAACTCCAGGATTGTAAGGGGCCAGGGGCCAAATGTGACATTACATTATCTACAGTGGTAGTTAAGGTTCTGTGGGCTGTAATTCATTCAGCACTGGTCACTAATTCAATTAGGGTCTCAAATTGAAGACAAATTAAAAAAACTTTTCCTGTGATAACGTAATTATTCCGTAGTCTGCTGGGCACATTTAATTACCTTCACAAAATTCTGTCATCACCACCTTGTTTTCCAGTAGTTCCTGGCTTTAAAATGTTTTCCTTGATTTAGTCTAATCTCTTTACAATTATTTATCAAGTGTATTAAAAGCCTATCTTGAATAGTGCCTAAATAAGTTGCTGTCATTATTGAACAAATGTGTTATGTTAAAAGCAAGTGACCTATATATTCAGTCTATGCTACTAGCCTCTGCATATGTGATTAAAAGTATTTTCACTTTTCAGGATGCTAAATGAGACTGTCCCCTTTTGCCAACAGGATAAAGCAGGACCTCATAAGGAAATCTACCCCTATGTCATCCAGGAACTTAGACCAACTTTAAATGAATTGGGAATCTCTACTCCAGAGGAACTGGGCCTTGACAAAGTGTAAGCTTGCAGGTAAGCAGTACCACCAGCAAACCGCTGAAGAAGGCAGAAAGGAATGGGGCTAAAAGTATTTAGATGCTTTCAGACCTGTAGTGTAGGACCATTTTAAAACCTTTGTTTTTAAACAAAGAATTTGTTTAAAATTTGTACAGATATTTTTTAACAGTTTAAAGCCATGTAGTACCAGTGGTAAAATTTAAAGCACTAGGATTGTTATTTTAGTTATAAGGTAAGCAGAAGCCTCAATTAAAAGCAGAAGTCAGTCAGAATGGCATATTGTTTTGTGTCATTAAGTCAGAACCAACTCATAGCTCTTCCCCCCAGCAAGTTTTCAGAGGCATTAGATCGCATGGGAATTGATTGTCCATCTCTGTGCCACAGAGCAGCAGGTGGATTTGAACTGCATACCTTTCAATTGGCAGCACAATTCCTTAACACTAAGAATAACGTGTTGTTGTTAAGTGCTGTCGAGTCACAGGCGACTCATAGCAACCCTATGAAGGAGAGTCCTCGACACTAAGAATAACATAGAGAACAATATAATGAACCTCTCTACATATACTGGACAGCATCATGATAAATGGAAAAAGATGGAAATTGTCAAGGATTTCATTTTACTTGAATCCACAATCAACACCCATAGAAGTATCAGTCAAGATATCAAATGACATTGCATTGAGCAAATCTGTTGCAAAGCACACCTAAGCCATAGGGCTTTTAATTGTCTCATACATATTTGAAAGTTAGACAATGACTGAATAAGATCAAAGAAGAATTGAAACCTTTTAATTGTTATGTTGGTGAACAATATTATTTCATGGATTGCCATAATGGGGGGAAATCACTTTTGGAAAAAGTATAGCCAGAGTACACTTCAAGAATGGTGAGACTTGGTCATACATCCTTCAGGCTTGTTACCAGGAATAGTTGGTCCCTGAAGGAGGATATCATGTTTGGAAAACAGAGGGTAAGCAAGAGAGAGGGCAACTCTGAAGAAGATAGATTATACGTTGACTGCAACAGTGAGCCTTAAGCATAGGGAGGATGGTGAGGCATCTACCAGGGTTTTGTTTTGTTGTGCAGAGTTGGAGTTGACTGTACTCAACTCTTAACACATCCAAATCTTAAGATGCAATTTAGCCATGTTTACATTAGTTTTGTTTTGTCCAAGAAATTAACTAATTTCAGATAAAGCTGAAGTGTCTCTATACCATTCTCTAATATTCCATTTCCTTAACCTTCTCTAAGCCATAGGTGTAGAAGGTGTATTTTTATATTTCCATTGTTTGTATATACCCAAGTTAGTTTTTAATGGTAACTATTCTGCAATAAAGGAAACTCTGGTGGCCCAGTGGCAAGAAGTTGTGCCACAATCCCAAGGGCACGTGGTTTGAAGTCACCAGCTTCTCCATGGGAGGATGGGTAATCCTCCTCCTGTGGAATTAACTGCCTCCGAACACCCTCCAGAGTCAGCTATGGGTCATTTCCAACTGCAGTACATAACAACATTCTGTAATAAAAGCTTACTTGAAACCCTGTTCTCTATGGAATGACTAATTGAATATTGAAAATCCCCAGCTTTTATAGGGCAATGAGTAATCAGAAAATTTCTAGTAAAACAGAAAATATTTAAGCAGTAGCTCATATATTTTATCTAACAAATACATAGTTTCTGTAGCTCTTTATTTGGTCCTTACAACAGTCCTATGAGGTAGTAATTAGAATTATAATTATTCCCATTTTAATGATAATGAAACTGAGGCACTTTGTCCAAGCTCATATTAAAAGCTACTTGCAATCAAATTTCTTTTGCCTCATAATGACCTTGTAAGACAGTACAGCGGCCACACAGATGGTGGTGAAACCTGCATTTGAACCTAGGCAGTCTGGCACAGGGGACAGTTGTTCCTATCGTGCTGTGCTTCCTGCACAGCCACTTAGTTAATCAGGTTTAATAGAGGATTTTCTTTCTCAATCTTAAAGCAAATTTATTTTTAAACTACTTACAGAGATTTCAATAAAAGTGAATCCAAAATTATTTAAGTTGCAATCTCAGATCCTCCACAAGATGAAGCAGTGAGCCTTCTTAAGGAATCATTAGTGAACATCTATAGAAACATCTCTTTAAAACAGAATCCAAAGACTGACTGCTATTTTCCTAGATGTATTAGAGAAACTGAGCAGAAAATACTTAAGGCTTTTTAAAGTTTGCTTTGTAGTAGGAATCTTTTCATTTTTATCTTTATAAACCTCCACAGCACCACCACCTTCCTGCAGTCATATAACTCATCTTTGTGATAGAAGGAGTGTGAATGCAGAGTTTTATTAGTGATATTGCTTAACCTCAAAGTCTGAGGTTCATATTCCAAGATGGACTCTTGAAGAAGTTATCTAAACTAGGACCTTATTTTCAATTTGTGGAATACTCCAAGGGGTCCATTAGACCTTTTTTGTACCATCAGTAAAATTTTCTTTCTAGAAAACAAAAGGAAGCTGGCCAGTATTTTTCAGATTGGAAAAGAATACCCTAATAGTATATTCCAGTGGTATAAATGAAAGGACTACAAAGCCAACCCCCTGTGAGTTGCTTATAGGCAAGACTAAGTAGAAGCATAAAAGACTGCAAGGAGGCGAACTCTGGTGGCCTGCTGGCAAGAAGATGCTCTGCTGGAGAAGGAGGGACAATCTCCTCCTATACCAGTCAGATCCAATTTGACAGTACACCTACAAAAAATAATTTAAAAAAAAAAACAACTGCAAGGAGATAGTGATTTCTAACAACCCCAGTCTTCACCGGTAAGTTCTAAAGAAGGTATCTGTTAGTAACATTTTCACCTTTTAATTTTCTTTCCCTTCTCATTGTGTTTTCTTACAGGTGTGCTTCCCAAGGATTTACTGATCTTGCTACTTGATTATAAACAGTCACCTGGAAATACTGATAACATATTACCTTATTGCAACAAGTTTTCTTTTATTGAGTATCAAACCATGTAATGGTAACTTGGATCTTAATAAAAGGGAAACGGGTTTGAACTGAAATAAATCAGTTGTTCCTGTGTTTAAATTCAGAGTCAGAAAATGAAATGCCACAGGAGCCATTGGTTTCTTGGTTTTTTGTCTTGTATGCTGAGAGAGCTACTAGTTCTTAAGAAACTGTCTGACATGAACCTAAAACTCAACAGCATCAATCAGTTCTGGCTTAAAATGATCTAAGGACAGAGTTGAGCTGCCTCATAGGGTTTTTAAGACTGTAATATTTATGGACACACGCTGTTACATCTTTTTTTTTTTTTAATTATTTTAATGAAAGTTTATAGACTTAGGGTTTCCAGTAATTCATTGTTGCACTTTTATCCCTGCCCAACCCCTCCCCCTGACTTCACTCTTCTCTTTGAAAAGAAAAACTTTCATTGTTATGCAATCCCTCCCCCTAAATCCACTCCCAGCCTTCATTTTAGACTCCTGTAATGACAGTAATACCCAGTCATATGTCCCTTTTAAATAGTTCTCTCCCTCATCTATTTCAGTGCAGTACATCATTCCTCCCCTCCTTCTGTTTTCCCTCAACCCCAATGTCAGTCCCATTTTACAACAGTGCCCCTATGCAATATTTGTCCTTTTGTAACTGAGATATTTCACTCAGCATAATGTCCTGCAGGGTCATCTATTTTGCGTACTGTTTCATGGGTTCCTTGTTTTTCAGTGCTGCATAGTATTCCATTTTGTGAATATACCACAGCTTCTCTTATCCATTCGTTTGTTAACTGGCACTTGGGTTGTTTCCAGCTCTTTGCTCTTGCGAACAAAGCCACAATAAACATGGGTGTGCATATATCAGCTTAGGTGGTGGTTATGGTTTCTTTAGGATAAATTCCCAGTAGTGGAATTGCTGGGTCAAACGGTATTTCTAGGGGAGCTCTGGTGGCCTAGTGGCAAGAAGCTGCACTGCAATCCCAGAGGCACATGGTTCAAATCC